CAGGCAGGCAGGCACTTACACGCCATTGGTGGGGGGAGCTGGGAGGTGACATGGGGGCCGGGGACAGCCTCGTAGGAGCTTTTGCGAATTGCGGCTGGCATGTACAGCGAGACGTTTTCTAACTTGGATAGCAGCGTATCTTTTTGCGGTTGTACATTATTATGAAGTTGACTTGTTGAGTTGGTGGTTCAAAGTTCTGACCCCCTCCTCCTCTCTCATCCCTACCCTGCTGATGGAGGCCTGCCTACGCTGTGACCTGGCACGATTATCATCGCAGGCGGGTTGGGGAGGGCCCAAGACGCGATGCGGCGGCTCTCACCCGCCTCGTTTTTACCACCTCTGATCTTCAAATAAGCAAACAAGCAAGCAAGCATGCATTCCGCTTTGGGGATCATCGTCGTCGGACCATGTCAACGCGCGCCAAGGGCCTTGGGAGGGAGCTCACAGGGGAGGAAACGCCAGAAGCGCGGGCTCTACGTGACATTCTTGGTTCATTGACGGGGGGGACGGGGGACGGGGATAGCACGGATTACAGAATGGTCTTGTTGGATGTTGAGTGATGTCGTTCGCGGTTTGTTTCTGGCGTATGCACGGGGCGGAGGTCGGTCGGTGATGATGATGGTTTGGGAGGGGAGGAGAGAGCACGAGGACGGACGGGACCAACGGGGGGGATGGGTTGCTATTTTTGTTGCTAAGAATAGAAAATGGAATCCTTGGGTTATGATTTAGGTGAGGCGGCCGGGAGCTTTTTTTTTCGCTTATGGGACGAACTGGGGGTGCGGATGGGATGGAATACCCCACTCGTCGGCTAGCGGATTGGAGGAGTGAACCGCGACTAGCGTCTCCCCTCTCTCCCGAGCCGAGTACGGCGTGAGGAGGGACTCGGTAGTGAGAGACAGACGAGACAGACGAGACAGACGCTTGGCCTTGGGACCGACCGGGGCGGGGGGGAAGAGCTTGATTCGGATAAGTTGGGGTCTAAAAATGAAATAAAAAAGATGTCAGGGTTGTATTCTATATGTACGGGACCTTTTCTCCTGCTTCTTTTTCTGGGTTGATGGTGTGCACGTTTCCATGTGTTGTCTTTTTTGGTATGGGTTGTTTGGAGATGACTATGGGGGAAAGAAACCGATCATTCCATTTGCGCTTCCCCGTTTTACCGGCTTAGTGTGGTCCATCAGTGTGTCAGACGTCAGATGCGCCGCATGAGACCGGGGGAGGGGGAAAGACGGGTGAACCTATGACGATGAAGCTTATGAAGATTGTCTTTTGCGGTTTGCCGATTTTTTGGGATGAAGAAAGTCCGATAGGGGGCCGTATTTTTGGTGCTTCGCCAAGGTACCTAGCCAGGGTTGTAGATTGTGGATGAAGTGAGACTTCGCGCCGCCGCCGTGCAACTGAATTTCGCTGCGACGTATGGTGATGGGGAAAGCAAAGATGGAGGGTTGGGTGAGATGTTGATTGCAGAGACAAGCCGCAGCGCAGCGTGCGTGTTGCATACATACATACAAACTCGTCTCTTTTGCTGCGGAAAAAAAGCGTGTGTAATTTCAACATAGCCGCACGGCAACTAAGCGACAGACGCGGGGAGGCGCAAGCAAGCGCAGCAAGCGCAAGCGCGGTGCGTCTTCTTCGTCGCGTGTGTGTGTGTGTGTGCTGCGATGTGGTTTGACAAGACAGACGCTAGGGCTTTTTTGGCGCGCTGCGCTTGACCGGCTATGTAAGAGGTTGCATTGTGTACGTACCTATCTTCTTGAGGTGTCGCGAAGGGGGGTGGGGTGTGCGCGCAGACACATGGACGCGGCTACGTCTTGCCGCAATCGAGAAGTCGATTGTTTCTTCTCATGCCATGATACCCAAGAAGAGGCTGAAAGTGAGATGGAAAGTAAGGTGAGATGTTGCAACTAATCTCGGCGTGGAGGGGGAGGTACCATCTAAACCCGTACGTACCTCTGTGGAGAAGAAGGTGGTTTTTGGCGCAGATCAAGAATTGAAGAAAGCAGAAAGAAACGTCAAAAAGTTAGCGTATATTTATTTTCTGCCCGACGCTAAGAATCCCGGCCCCGCGCAACTTTTGCGCTACTCTGACCGGCTTTTGTCGAGGACATTGTGTCTCGGTCAAGTTCGATACAGCTGGACAACAATTTGGGGGCAGGACCCACGGCCTCGGTCAGTGGGAAATCGCGGCACGTTTTCTTCTTTGTGTCACAGTGGGTTGGGTAGGGGATCGTCGTTTGTTTCGTCAGAGGATTCCGTCCGGCAGCACGGCACGCACCGGACTACGTCGCGGCCATCGTGGAACGTCAGACTAGGAAGGGAGAATGCGGCGGCGAAAGACGTCATGCGCCCATCAGACGTTTAATGATCAAAGACTGGGTCGAAGGAGTGTCGCGAGAGAGCTTGCGGGCACGGAATACTTGCGTTGTTGGGTCTGGGAGTCCGAGGGCCCGGACCCTGTTCGATATTGAACCGGGGGGCTCCAGTTCAATGAACATAGCCGGGGGGGGGTTCAGGAAACTTGCGAAGGCAGCAACATATCGTACCCGGCGACAAATCAATCGATCAAGATTTCTGAAGGGCTCTAGATTGCGTGCAGATTGAAGGCGGGAAACGAATCCTGTCGGGCAGAATTGATGCTTGGCTTTCTCGTGATTCTCAATCAACCTGGCCCCCGGTTCTGCCTGGAGCTGGTGTTTCCCTAATACCGCTTCGTCTTTCCATGTCTCGAATATGATAAAATTTACGCCGCACTTGACAACGTATGATTTGATCAAGAGGATTCTGTTCAGGCTGGCGTTTGGGGGGGAAAGCTGAAAGACAAAAGTGCTGAAAAAAGTTGGTTAGGCAGGTATAACTGCCCAAGGGAGAAATAAGGAAGTAGAAACGAAGGATGCGATGCGATGCGATGCGTGGTTCTGGGGTCCGTTCGGTACGGCTTGGGGGGGTTAGGTCTCGGGTCTAATGCGGCCGGATATGCAGCGTCGTCCGCGGCGACCCGGCTCCGGCTCTTGAACGTCTTGGTTTTCTCGGTGTGCGAAGGAGGGTAAGAGATGTACTACGTAGATGCGAGGCTGCATGCACGTAGCTTTTTTCGGACACGCTTGGCCTTCGTCCCCGGGACGGAATACCGGGGAGATTCTGCGCGTCTCATTCGGCAGAAGAGTGCATGCGATCGTGCGACCGGTTTGCCTATTCAGAAATAAACCAACAGCCCTGTTTATCGTGCTTGTTTCTTTTGCCCTAGGGCCTTTTGGGGAGCTGAAGACACACAAGTTCCTGGCTTTCGCTGCTGCTGCATTGCATCGCGCGTTCTAAATCGGGTTTACTTGGAAAAGCGAATACCAAGGCAAGGCGAGACATCTGAAGGGCTTGAGTAGAGGGGTGTTTCTGGATCGCGATGAGGCCGAAGACGAGGAGAAAGGTGCTCACCCCACCCCCACTCGCGACGAGATTCCATGCCGTCGCAGCCATGTTTCCCTTCATGGCTGCTGAAAATGCTAGATGGTGGGTGGTGATCTCTGTACCTGATGAATCAGCCCAAGACCAGGGGCTCCTCGCGGTGAAGAATGTAGGTGCCTGGCCGAGGCCCACGAGGCTCAGAAGCTTGAGATCGCACAACGCTGCCGGCGATAAAGCATGACTTGCATCGCATGGCACGGTGTCGAGGGTGGGACGGCGATTGCGCCTCCCGCCGCGCTTAGAAGGAACGAACCATGGGGTTGTGGTTCCTTTGCCATGGAGAGGCATGTGGCGCATGGAAGTACAGACGGAGGGGGTGTCATGAGATTATTGGGGTTTGTATTGCTTTAACCCGTAGAGTGAAATGGTCGATGGATGCTTTGGGTTGTGAGGTAAGCTGTGGCTGTTGACGGGCTGGCGGAGGGGCTTGGCTAGCGAGTGAGATTGAGGCTCAGTTAACTCTTGGTTACTGAAGAGCGTGATACGTCGACGGCGCGCGTGTGTCGGTGTCAGGCGAAGGAATGCATCATGGGGTGTGGGTGTGACTGAGCGAGGGGAGAACAGGAACATTTGAGAGGATAGGTAGTATGGCTGGTGCGGCGGTGGTGGCGGCGGATCCGGAGCCCGGCGACCAGTGGAGTTGTTGTGCCCTTGTGAAATGCCGTTATCTCGCGGGGAACAAACGGCTTGGTGGCGGAGGGATTCGGTAGGATTCTGGGGGGCGTTCGGAAGAGGTTGGGAATGATTTGTGGTTTGTAGCCAAGGGATATTGAAGGTCCGAATACCTCGGCTGGATCCTGGAAACAGTCGAAGAGTCGTGATCTGCTTCCGAAGAGCACAGTTGAGATTTGACGTAGTATTTCGAGTTTGCGGAAGGATTCGGTACACGGAAGGGTTTGGTGGCTGACAGTTGTCTGATCTGCTACCAGGAATTTGTCGATCAGAAAAGCAATGGAACGAAACATTGAGGGATGAAGGATGGCAGAACTGGCCGCCTGTTCAGAGGGCCGTAGAATCGTTAGGTACCTACCGCAGCAGTTACGGGCTGCACGGGCCCTGGTGGGTCCCCATTACGGAGGATGGATGCCCGGTCGCGTCACGTCGCGCCTGGCGTGTCTCCCGCAACCTCACCATTGAACCTCGGCGATAACGAACGTCCACTGCCGCTGGCCGACGTCGAGCCCGCCGCTATCGATTGTCAAGCCAAGAAATACTCGCATTACTGTTGTCAAATACCGTGTTAAGGGCCAGCTCAGAGAAAAGACATGGTCAATTACTCAGCATCCCTGCGCTAGCTGGCCCTTCCACCGCTTTCGGCTCATCGTGAGCTTCTCTTGAACCCTCTGTGAGTCCGATGCATAGCTATCGACACGTGACCAGCGGCGGCATCTTCTCTCAGACCCCGACTGCAGATGCGAGTCCTGTGACGCGTGGTTGAGACTCGTCTCGCCGATGAAAGGTTTTCTCGAACCCTGGCTAATTCCCAAAAGGTCTGCTTCATCGAGTTCAACACATCGTCTCGGCATCAAATAGGCATAGCTATGGCTCCTCCTGCCCAGCTGCCCCGTGTGCGCTCAGCAGAAGCTTCCATCGAGAAGGGCAGAGCAGCCTACGCCGACCAACGCTTTCGCGTCGCCCTAGAGCACTTTACCCTCGTTGCTGGAAATTGCCCCTGTGCAAACCCATCATCGTCTTCAACCAGCCGAGGGAGTGGAAGCAGTGCGGCTGAGACGCAGCAACGCCGCCGAAGAGAGCGATGCACATGTCGCGACTTTGGTCGCGCCGTCGCACGGCACAGTCGTCAAAGGGGCGCTGTGTATGCGGAGGCAACCAAGGAATGCAAGTGCGGCGCCGAGAAAACGTGGGGGAAGTGTCATCGCGAGGCACACGTCCAGGCGCTGGACTACCGCGCTGCATGTTTCGAGAAGATGGGGAATCTCGAGAAAGCGAGGAAGGATGCTGAGTGGTTGTTGGAGATCGCCCCGCGGAGGTTAGAGGTGAATTCCAACCCTGCTTTGTGATTTCTTTCGCCCCTATCCCTATGTAAGAAAATACTGACCGGTGTTGTCCAGGGGTACATGAGACTTGGCAAAATTTACAGAATGGATAAGAAGCCTGACCTGGCATGGGCAGCGTGGAGCGCCGGTGTCGATGTCGGCCAGAATGAGGGCCTCACCGGGACGCCTAAATATGAGGTACCCCAACCCGCAAGGTCTGGACGGGGACGTGAAACTGACGACCTGCTTCAAGCAATTACTCAAGATCAGGGAGCCACTGCACAAGCACTTCTGCCGCAAAGACCCATTAGACCTGCCGCAGGAGCTGGTCGAGAGCATCTTCTCTTACTTCGATTTCATTGAATTATGGTACGCAACCCCCCGAGTCTTGCCACGAATCGCCTCTCTGACCTCACCAGCCGCATGTCAGGTGTCAGCAAACGCTGGGACAACTTCTTTGATACCCACCCGTACATTTGGAGAGAAGTTCGTTTCCAGTCCATCAGCTCACAAAAGCTACCACGCATGAGCTTCATCAAGACCTTACGCAGACGCACCGCCGGACGCGCTCGCACCCTCGTCATACAAGACGCGCATGCCTTCCAGCTCAACGAGTCCAAGTGGATATCCCTCATTCAGACCACCAACCCGCAGACGACAAGCTATTTGGAAGTCGGCGGTATCCGGCGTGAGATGAACGGCGACTGGGGGTATAAGCTGCCCCCCAAGCCACCCTTCTTTGAGGGGCTGACTGACTTGAAATTGGGCTTTACCCGTGGACCGAACCCGGATCACACAGGTAGGGGCGGGCCACAAGCCTTCGTGAGGCAGTTCATCGAACGAGCCAAAGAGAACCTGCATAGCGTCACGCTGACGAGTACGTGGCTAAACGATCTTGACTGGCCATTGCTGCCACGCCTCGAGATCCTACATCTATCAGGCCCAGCCATATCTATACACACACAATTCCCCCCAGAACGCCGTATAGACCCAGTGAGTCTCCGTCCTCATCAGACCCCTGAAATCGCATCCTAAACCAAGCGTCCTCTAGTTCGCCCTCGCCCGAGCGACCCCGAACCTCCAGCAACTGAGCCTCGCCAACTTCGGCGTCTTCACCGGCGTGGACACCCTCCTTCCTCCCGAGGACTGCTGGTCCCTCTGGCGCCACCTACAAGTCATCTCTCTCGGACCGACGCGGAGCCCGCTCTCGGTCGGGAACAAGCGCCACTTCCCCCCGCTCCACCCCTCTTCCTTCCGCATCTTCGAGGCCCGCGCCGGGAGGCAAGGGAACCAAGGCGACTGGCTCCCGCAGCAGCTGCCGCTCGACTACTCGGGCTACGACCAGGCCTCTTACTCCTCCGCCTCCGCCGCCGAGAACCAGAACCTGGACCTGGTGACGTACCCCAACCTGGAGCGTTTCTGGATGCCCAAGCTCCCGCTAAGCGTCGACCTCGCCACCATCCTGCTCGAACCCGCGATCCGCTCCGGCAGGCTGAGGGAGGTCGGCCTGTGCTGGAGGCAGGACCCGGGACAGTATTTCCCCGGCGCCCTGGACTTCCTGCGGGGCGCGGCGTCGGTGAGGACGCTCGGCTTCTTCGAGTTCGACCTCGAGAGCCACGAGGCGCTGACGCGGGACCCGGCGCACCGCGGCGTCGACCCGACCGCCCTGCTCTTCGGCTTCCTCGAGTCGTTCCCGAACCTCGAGGTCCTGGAGCTGCACTCCAGCAGCTGTGACCCGCGTCGCATCGGCGTGGTGATCGAGAGGATGGTCGGGCTGGGGCGACTGAAGAAGGTGTACCAGAAGGCCCTGACGGGCGTGCATATGGACCAGTTGAGGGCGTTTTGCGAGACGCACGGGGTGGAGTTGGAGTATGGAAGCTGGACCTCGTCGTTTCCCGTGCAGCTTGAACCATTAGAACCCGTTGACGCGACGTCGTGAAGTCTGAGCCTGGGTAGGCCCTCGTTCGATTCCGTTGATTTTTGGTTATAACATGGCGGAGTTGATGTATGTATGAGTGCGTGTCAAGCGTTCTCAATATCAGGATGAACATGGCGTATGAAGTGGTAGAGCGTAAAACATGACGGGATGACACACCGTCATGGAATCACTGCAGTTATTGAACAGCAAACAAACATGTTGAACTAGATTATCCAAGCTCCTCGCTGCCGAACAAGACACACTTGCACGCGCGCTCGCCCAGGGGCTTGCTATCGGAAAACAAAATTGTAACGCACAAGACGACGACGGCGACGCAAAATCCCGCCTGTACAAATCAGAAACACTTGATCCTCCCAAGCTCCGTCCCATCCCTCGACTCGCCCTGTCCGAGTCGCTTTCCAAGCCCTCTCTCTCTCCTTTCCTCCAACGCCATGGAACCAAAGCTTCCATCTCCAAGGATATCTCGTTCCTCCCAAGGAAAGACGGGGGTTTTCTATTATAAGTGATAGTCAGGTGGGAACTGTTAGACCCTGGTATTTCATTGTATAATGTAGGAAAAAAAAAAAGGAAGGTAAAAACTAATGCCGCTCATTGCCGCGCGGGCGACGGGGGCACGGCGACGTTGCCGGAGATGAGGCTCTCCATCTCCCAGGGGCTGAGTGTGCTCCTCCTCCTCGACTGGACCTTGCTGACGCGTCTCTCGCGCTTGCGCTTGGGGGGCGACAGTGGCTTATCCTCGTCTTGTGGGAGGTCACGCTTGACGGGGTCCAGGTCGTGGTTCGAGTCGGATGCGTCGGCGCCGTTGGGCTGCTGGGGCTCAGGTGGAACAGCGACGATGGTCTCGGGTGGAGGGGGAGGCATGGCTCGCACAGTCTGCTGCGGGGGTGGTGCAGTCGACCTGACTGTGCCACCGCGAGCGGCCTTGAGCTTGGCGCGTACGCGGGCGGCATCGGCTTCGCGCTCTGAGGCGGCGAGTTTGGCTGCGATGGTGGCCATCGTCAAGGGGCTCTGCTGAGGTTGAGGCTCTGCCGGCCGGGGAAGAGGCAGACGCGAAGGCACGCGTCGCAGAGGTGTGCGAGCCGGCGTCGCTCTTGCGCCGTTTGGTTGCGTGGCTGGACCAGGTGGTGGGCCGTCGTTGCTTTCGTTGCTCTCTTGGGATACCGTGCGGACGGTGGTCGTTGGGGAGCGGCATTCCGCTGGTGCGGAGGTTGGCTGTGCTGTTACCAGGTGAGGCGGCTTGGGAAGTTTACGGGCCGTAGGTGTCTGATTGATGGAAGCGGGAGGTGATTCGGCAGGCGTCTTGAGAGGGGCGCCGTTGTGGGTTGACTCGGAGTCGATTGAGGCCGCCGAGGTGGTGCGGGAGCAGTCTTCGACGGGGTAGGATGGCTTCTGCGGTGATCGCGGAAGCTGGGTACGGTGTGGTGGGGGCTTAGGTGCGGCGTCAACGGCGCGGATCTCCCAGGTCTTTTCTTCGGCGATGGTGGTGAAGTCGCCGGGCTTCTCACGGCGCTGGCGCACATCGCGGTTGCCGGCAGAGGAAGAGTCTTTAAGAGGGCTCAGCTGAGGGGCAGGTGGAAGAGGAGGTGAGCTGAGGTAGGCAGTGGATTGCTGGAGAATTTGGACGTTGGGCTCTTCAATGTCGAGCTCTTCAACGTCGACATCCTCAAAGATGCTGGACTCATAGTCGCTGCGATCTTCTTCCTCGAGGTCGTCGTACTGGACTTCGCGAGGACCGGTCTCGTTGCGTTCAGGGGCGGGAACAAGGTGAAGAGACTCGACTCTCTGCGGCTGCGGGCAGGGAGACTCGGGCATTTCCTCGTCGTCCTCCTCCTCCTCTTCGCCCTCCTCTTCTCCGTCAAAATCCGCGGTGCACTCCTCCTGAACGCAGGAGAGCTCGTGCATGTCTGCGCCTGCCTGCTGGGTTTCCTCAACATTGCGCACACGAACGGGGCTCAAACGAAGACCCATCTTGAGCTCCTCCAAGTTGACCGGCTTGCCGTCGACAGCCATACGCCGACGCCAGCCATCAATAAGGTGGACGGCCTCTTGCCATCGGTTCTCCATCTTGACCCAACCAGCGCGAAGGCGGGCGATCTCCTCTTCACGGACTTCAACTTCCTCAATAGGGGCGAATGAAGGGTTCGTGAGAATGGATCGCAAGTGCTCCAGAATGGCGTCGAGCTCTGTTGCCATGTCCTCGGCAGTGGGCAAAGCCACGGCGTGGCCGTCTCCCTGGCTCGGCCTGACATCGCAGCCGCTCATCTCGCGCAGTTTCTTCGTGGTTTGTCGAACAAGTGCCAGCAGGGATTCGTTTTCTTCGCTGAGGTTGTGCGACAGCTCGGTCAGGAACCCGTTCGTCTCGTTCCGCAAATCGTAGTTTGAGTCCTCGGTGTTGGTGCCCCGGCCGCCGCGCCTAGGAGTTATCTTCTCCTCGCCCTCGCCGGCGACGACGCTGATGACGGTGACCGCAGAGCTCTTCGCCGCGCCGCGAGGACGGCCAGCGTCTCCCAGTTGCTTCTTCAGCCCATCGATCTGACGATCACGACGCCGAACTTCCGTCGCGCACGAGGCGCGTGTCTGGGCAACAAGCGTCTTGGCACGGGCAACTTCGTCTTTGAGGCCGCGGGCAGCAGCATCGGCCGACTTGAGCTGGGTACGGAGCGTGTTCTCTGTGGCCTCGCTGATGTCGAGCTTGCGCTGTGCTTCGGTGTGCTTCTCGGAGAGGCGTGCGATATCGTTCGTGTACCGGAGGTTCTCGGCTCGGATGGTTCGCAGCGTGGTGGAGAGGTTCTCGCGGTGCTCGGCGTCGCGCTTTAGGAGGGGGAACAAACATCGTTTCAGTTTGGGGTTTCTTCAAAGAGTAGTTTTCAAACGAAAGAGGGCACACGCACGTCTCGGCGCAGAATCAAGTCATTGACTATGCTCATGATCTTGCCCATGGTAGCGTCCACGCCGCCAGGATTGTCGTCCGGGTCGGCGAAGTTGATTGTTTGGCCATCGCTCAGGAGACCTCGCGAGAGCAGTTGATTGTTGATGTACAGGGATGCTGTACGCAGATTCTCGTTGTCTGCCATTGTGTTGGACGTGTCTCTCGGCGAGACGAGGGTGCTGTTTGTGTTCTCTCCTGTTCAATGCATGCGGATGGATGGGTATGGCGGTTTAAAGGCTCCAAGGCTGTCGCTGGAGAAAGCAGAGTGATGTAGAAAATGTCATCGATGAAAAAGTATCGCGGAGTAGCGTCTGCCGATTTGCAGCTTATGCAGGATGAAGGACGGACCAGGAGCCTTTTCAGGGTGGTCTGCAAGGGCGACTTTTCGGATCGAGGCCGATGTATATTATTTTGGCTCGTTGCCATGTCACCCCCCCACCCGCAAAGTAAACAAAAAGGCAGCCAACACACAGCGTCGCATGGGTCCTGGCCGCGACCCTGCGGGGCTAGCCGCGAACCGCCTAGCGCCATTTCTTCACATTCATGCGATATCTGCCCGAGTCACATCTCTGACTCCCGATCACACTCAAAAGTCTCATTATTCGTTTTTTCCTCAGCCCGCAGCCCAGGAAACGAACATCAGTTCCCTCATTGCCATGGCTTTCGACCCGACGGCACTTGGCCCGTCAGAAGAGCCGGCCATTCACGATCTTTCGGGCGAGATATGGCATCCCTTGTTCCGGCACGAGTGCGCTTTTGGGCCCGATGTCTTTGAGGATGTCATGATGAATCTGGTCAAGAACCCGAACATCAACTCGAGCTGGCTCTTCCGCGCCGATATTCTCAACGATACCGACCCTGGATGGAAACCAGACACTCCCCCACTCTCTGATCTCCCAGATCAACAACAGGGTGTTCCCGCCGCACAAGCTGTGCAGCAGCCCGTCCCCGTTGCTTTCAAGGATTTCCGCAACGACCGCGTCCTTGTGAGGAGGTTGATTCCGCGGAACACACGTCGGGACGACCCTTTGGAGCAGACGTGCGTCTTCGCCTCCGGTACCCCAGACGCGGATGCAGATGCCACTGCCACTGCTGCGAAGACCAGGTCCCTGGTCATCTACCTTCCCCACGCTTCCTCCCCAGACGCCCTGCCCTTCTACCACCCCAAGGTCCGGGGCGTCGCGCACCTCCACGAGTGGGACGCTGCGCAAGGCGTCGGTACTGTCTCCATTCATTATTTGTTCTTCGACGAGGCCGACTTTGCCGTTGAGAAGCTTGTACGGACAGCTCGCATGCTGCTCTCGGTGCTGTACAAGCACGGTCAGGGAAGGGTCGCCGGGTACAAGAAGCGAGTGCATCATGACGTCGTCATTCCTCAAGCCCGGTTCCAAGACCGTTATACCCAGCTCAAGCTCAAGTACGCGAGGGATTTGGTCGAGAGCTGGGCTGAGACGACTGACCCTTCCAAGCACGTGTTTGAGGACTTGGGCATCGCTGCCTTCCTGATCGAGTTGTGGGCGGAAATGTACAAGGATCAGCCGTTCCCTGGGTTCGTGGACATCGGCTGCGGCAACGGCCTGCTCGTCTATATCCTCATACAAGAGGGCTACTCGGGCTGGGGCTTTGATGCTAGAGCAAGAAAGTCGTGGGCAAAGTATAACTCGGTCCAGTCAGGGAAAGATTCCCTACAGAGACTCGTTCTTCTTCCCGATGTTGTTTCAAGACCCTCTTGTGCCGAAGGCCAAGAGCCTGTTCTCGATCTCTCGCAAATTCACAACGGCTCCTTTCCCAAGGGCACCTTCATCGTCTCTAACCATGCTGACGAGCTAACCCCGTGGACTCCTATTCTGGCGACCTTGTCAGAGAGCCCCTTCATCATGATCCCCTGCTGCAGCCACACGCTGGGAGGGCAGAAGCACCGCGCGCCATTGCCGCGTGATAAGACCAAGTCTCAGTCGACTTATTCGTGCCTTGTCGACTGGGCGGCTTGCATTGCCGAAGATTGTGGATGGGCCGTCGAGACGGAAATGCTCCGCATCCCGAGCACGCGAAACACTGCCATGCTGGGCCGGAAGCGGACGCGGGATGTCGAAGAGGTAGACATTGACGGGGTCCTGGCCAAGTACGGCGGAACAGGCGGCTACTTCGAAAGCGCGGCGAAGTTGACCAAGACTGAAAAGGGGCACTAGACGAATTAGATTTCGGGGAAATAACAGAAGATATTTCAAGGTTCATAGGGACGTCTTCAATGAGATGTGCCCGCAACATCACAACGACTCATCGCGGACGGTCCTGTGATAGATTCAAGTCATTGAATTCTTGGACAAACTTATTCAATCCTGGGTATTCGTGATCCGCCCTCGGTGGTCTGCCACTCGAAGCCAATGTGCCAACTTATATCAACCCAGCCAACTCCTGGATTCTCTTCCTCGCCGCCTCTCTTACCTCAACAACAATTTCCCCAGCCGGCTTGATGTCGTTAACAAGCCCGACTCCTGCACCAGCCCACTTACCAATCATCTTCTTCCCCTCGTCCTCACTCCATCCGCTCTTCAGCCTCTCCCTGCTCTCCTCCACCGTCGCCGTCTTGCCCCCGAGCACGTGGTACTCGCGGTGGATCTCACCAATAATGGCTCTGCCGTCATAGCCCGGCTTCCAGAGCTTGCTGTCCACCAGCCTGTCATGGAACTCGTGCTTCCAAGTGCTGACGCCGCCATCCTTCGTCTTGACGAGCAGCTCCTTGTGCAGCTGCGCCGACATGGCCTCATTCGACGCCACGAACCGCGTCCCCATGACTACTCCCTCAGCGCCCAGTGCCAAAGCAGCAGCGACGCCGGAACCTTCTACGATACCACCTGCCGCGACGACAGAAATCTCCTTGGACGCGAACTCCGTCGCAAGCAAGGCCTTGATCTCGGGAACCAGCGAGACAACACCGCACCCGCGCGAAAACTGGTGACCGCCGGCATCCACGCCCTGAGCGACGAGCACATCGGCCCCGTCGGCAGCCGCCTCGCGCGCCGCGGCGACGTTGCCGACCTGGACGAAGGCCTTGATGCCCTCCTTCTGCAGAGCAGGGATAATCTGAGCATGCGGCTTAAGTTCCTCGTGCGGAGCAAAGAGCCAGGCGGCCGCGACGCGGTGGCGGGCCAGGATCGGGAGCACGTTGTCTACAAAGAGATCGGCTGTCTCGTGGGAGGTGATAAAGCCGACGCCCAGCGGGAGGTTTCCGTCTGCCGAGAGAAGGGAACGGGCCTGGGTGAGAGCGGCGTCCATGTCCTTCATCTGGGCGGAGGACTCAGAGAAGTCGAAGCCAGCGGCGATGAAACCTGTTGCTCAGTCAGCGAGTGTGACTCGGTCTGGTAAAAAGACAGGTTTTTTTGTCTTGTTTTTAAAGGGAGAGCGCAACGGAGCCGAAGAAAAAAAGGGAGATCGTGTTTCTTACCGGCTCCTCCGGCCTTATGAACTTCAGTCGCGAGAGAGGCGCCGGCGGCGCCGAGCATGGGCGCGCTAATGATGACGGGCGCCTTGGCGTCGGGAAAGGTGCTTCTCAGCTTCGAGGGAGCCATATTTGCTTTTTCTCTGCTCGCAGTGGTGAAGTAATAACAAGGCGTAGATCTTGCTGGTGAGACAGGGCTATTTGGAAATCTCGTTGCTTTTTGAGAGTGTCTTGGGCGGTTGTCAAGTGAAGCAAGCGTCGATGATGCAGCACGTTTGGAGATGGAGATGGCGGCTGATGATATAGGTAAGACACGGTAAGACCCAGTCACTACGGCTGACTTGCATAAGCAGACGAGCCGGCGGGAAATGGCGGCGGTGGTGGTGCTGATGCTCCGCGGAGATGTCTGCATTTGGTTTGAAAGCGTTGGGAGCCGTTTGTCAGCAAGACCTCGGCAGACTTTTTGATGGACAATGAACGGGACGGAAGCTCTTTGAGAGGGAGATGAGATGGGATGGGCCGGGACCTTGCTTTAAACTTCGTCCGGGTGCGGGGCGGGGCCCGGGATTAAAGTGCCGCTGCGGGCCGCACGCCGCTGTTTCCGCCGATTTCGTCATATGGCTTACGGCATTCAGCATCCGCAAGTTCAAACTTCGTTTTCTCGTCTCATTACGGTCTACGGCGGCTCTAGAGCTTGACGGTTCTCGAAGAGAAACATAAACGTGGGCTTGATCCGTTTCGAACGAAATTGGGATTGCATGTTGAGGATGGAGTCATTCTCAACACTGTTGGGGGGATCTCTGCGGGGCCGAGTGCTCAGCAGATCCCTCCACTGCCAAGGGACCAGTGGTCCCGACGTTTTCGGTATAATTTGGTACGAACTTGGAGAACGTGTCAATTCCAATTGCATCTTTGGCATGTCCGGGCTATCGAGTTGAACTGCCGGTAAACTGCAACCAGGGTGGTTTACAGGGGAGGTCACCAGCAGGTGTGCGTGATGACTTCCATTGTGTTTTCTTCCTAGATACTTTTTTTATTTATCCAGACCATTGCTCTGTCAAATCTACACTTGTCATTCCGTCTATAAACACGCTTCCGGTTCGCCACAACTTTATCACGATGCAAAGATCTTCATCAAACCCTCCATCGCCATGTTACCACCACTAAACACCAACCCCAAGTCCCATCCTTCCTCACCAGCCTCCTTCTCAACCATGCTCCTGAAATCCTCGTTAAAGAGCGCAACCGCGAGCGGCACAGCACCGCTCGGCTCAATGACGAGCTTGAACCTCTCAAACACCAGCTTCACGGCAGCCTTGATTTCCTCCTCGGACACATTATACATGTTCTCCACCAGCCTGCGCTCGTAGATGACGCTCCACGGGAACTTGCCCACAGGCGTCCTCAGGCCGTCGGCAATCGTCAAGCTCTTGACGCTCTCGACCCTCTTGCCGGCCTCGAACCCGCGCTTGCCATCATCAGCGCCCTGGAACTCCGGCTCCGACCCGAACACCCGGATCCCGGTGCCCTCGCAGCTCAGCGCCACGCCCGACAGCATGCCGCCGCCACCGCACGGCGTGATGACGGCGTCCAGACCCTTGCCACCGGAAGAGTGCGGCTGGCCGGTGGAGTTGAAGGTCGTGTTCTCGGACGAGTGGCCCGCGGCGATGAGGTCGCGCACCTGCTCCTGCAGCTCGAGGCCGAGGGTGCCCTGCCCGAGCATGATGTCCGGGTGGTCGTAGGGCGGGACGAGGCGGGCGCCGGTGTCGGCGATGACGCGGTCGGCCATCGCCTCGCGCTCTACGCTGGTGCTACCGCTAAAGATGACGTTGGCGCCGTAGCCGCGCGTACCGGCGATCTTGTTGGCCGGGGAGATATCGGGCATGACGATGTGGGCGGGGATGCCCGCTTCCCTGGCCGCGAGGGCGAGTGCTTGAGCATGGTTTCCTGTGTGGTGTAAGCATTTCGCTCTCATTTGGCGGGAAACTCGTGAGGTAGAACATGATTCTCGAGTGAGGGGATTCTTACCGGAGCTGTGCGTGACCACACCCTTCTCCTTGCCGCCATTCTCAAGCCACCCGGGCTCCTGCTTCAGCCTCTCAACGGCGTGAAAGGCACCGCGGACCTTGAAGGCGCCGATACGCTGCAGGTTCTCGCACTTGAACCACAACCTCAGAACGGGCTTCGCCGGCGTGCGGCCCTCCCATTTCGTACCCTTGAGGTCTTCTGGGCTTCGGGGGGTGGAGGCCAGGTTCGTGAGGGTCTTGTTGGTGAGGACGGGAGTGTAGTGAACGTGAGGTTTGACGATCTTGTGAGCCTCGACGACTGAAGCTCGCGTTAACGGGAGACAGGTTGATAGGTCGGCCATGTTTTCTGAGATTTGTTGGCCGCGGCCTTGGTTTTCCGAGTGTTTTCCCGGCGGTGAAATGAGGGTGACGTCTTCGCTTATGACCTCTGTGGCGAACTTAGTATTCAGGTTTCCGATTCACACAAGGAGAGGTGGTGAAGACAAGAGGATGGTGAGATGTTGCATCAACTTATTTAATCAATGTGAGCGGGAGGCGGGGAGGAGAGACGTCAAATTGGGGAAGGTGTTTCCGTCCGATGCCGTGATCGGGGACGTATTGTGGGGCTACGCCCTCCGGACGGCGCTACCCCTGCTTCGCCGATGACTCTGCCGTCGCCGTGGATGTGAAAAGGCGCCGGTACCTGCTTGGACATGATTCCAGAGTTTCTCATTGGATCGTGTCGACAGATCTGGTCGTTTGAGGCATATAGTCGTTGCGAAATACGATAAATCGTAGTCACATGCAGTGCCTGAAGATGACTGCATAACGTGGATTGGGTCCGCATCTCCTCCTACTTACCCAGATTCGGCAGGACGATTACTGACTCGGCCAAATGAGCATATGGCCGGTGTCGAGAGGTGCAGCCTGGAACCAGAGCCAAACCATTCCCTCCGGTATCTACAAATACTTCTGCGCCGCGCTTTTATGACACCGACGGAAGCCGTCTCGTGAAGCAACTTGAAGAACCGCCCTGACAATTATCTCGCTGGACTGGCCGAAGAACATCCTTGTCAAATATTTTGAATTTCAATTTTCATCTTGTCTAACTTTTAGAACACCCAACCTTGGCCCAAATCTGCCCCGGGTATATCCATTTAGAACTCGATGCCAGCCTCAGCCTGCTGGAGACCGTACTGTCAAGAGGGTTAGCGTCTGGTCTCAGATATTTCTGGAATGATACGAGGCTTACCTTCTTGAGACGGATGGCGTTGATGGTGATGAAGCCGGACTGGATCTTGAGTCAGCGAATGGATAGCTTGGGACATGATCCGACAGTAACGTACAGTCTCAGAGGGGTCGAAAGTGGTGAGCGAGTCCATGGAGGCGTCCTCCTCAGAGTACAGCTTCTCCTGCGAGGTGCGGCCAAGGACGTAGGCGTTGCCCTTGTAAAGACGGAGGCGAACCTCGCCGTTGACGCGCTCCTGGGAGTAGTCGAGAGACGCTGTTGTTCTGGTAAGCCCGGTTGTTTAAGTGAGAGGAGTGATCTGACTTACGCTGAAGGAAGGCACGCTCAGGGCTGAAGTACATGCCATTGTACAGGAGCTCACTACCCATATGTCAGTCATGAAAGAAGTGAAGCTGAAATGAAGCCACTCACCTCCATTGCCTGCTGAGACCGTCACGCAATGAGCGGACGCGACCATCCAAGACGCTGCCGAGCGTTAGTTTCTCTCCGCGATGATATTTCCCTCCTCGTCAATCAACTTACAGGCCCTCGATGGAAATGTGAGCCAGACGGAGGATAGTCATGGCGGGGGAGTCGTCTATGAGATCATTAGCAAGAATGAATAGGGTCGGCTCAGGACTGAATATCTTACAGCAACCACGGCTCTTCAAGCCGATGACTGGGTGAAACATGTTAGTTTTCATTCAAACGGAAGCAACAGGGTATGATTGCATACAGCGGTTCTCGACGATGTCCTATCAACTGTCAGACTGTGTCCCTTCATCAACGAGCGACAAAGCACTTACAATACGGCCAACACCGTGCTCCTTGCCGAGAGCGTTCAGAAGACCGAAAAGCTCGACGGAGTCGGTGGCAGTCTTGTTGGGGGTAACGACCTTGACGGGAAGACCCTTGTCGAAGTGGATGGTGATGTCGAGAGGAGCATCAGGGGCCTGGAGGGGAGAGACGGTCTTGGTCCACATGTCCTCAGGGGGAGTGACGTTGGGGTCCTCGAGCATGCCGGCCTCGTAGGAGCAGTGGGCTGGCAAACGTCAGTCTTCAGTTCGCCACTGGGAACTCAAAACACCCACCGAAGTTGTCGTCCATGGAGTAAGGCTTGGCCTTGGTGGAGGTGACGGGAATGCCTGGAGACTGTCAGTAAGAATCCGTCAATGGAAACACCAATCCTTGTTCGTACCCTTCTCAGCAGCGTAGTCGAGCAAGTCGTTGCGGCCCTGGAACTTCTTGATGAAGGCCTCCTGCCTCCAAGGGGCGATGACCTTGATCTCGGGGTTGATGGTGTACCAGGCCAACTCGAAGCGGACCTGGTCGTTGCTGAGTTCGGTGTTAGTTGTCGCGTTCTCGATGCAAGGAAGCCACGATGGCTTCAGTCGAATGAGCGTAGGTTGACATACCCCTTTCCGGTCTGTCAAAAGAAGGTTAGCTATACCGACACAAAATCGGACGAACACAGAAGAATCACTTACGCAGCCGTGAGAAACGAACTGGCAGCCCCTAAATACCAAATCAGTGTTGTCCTTTGCGAGTCGACGACGCAGTAACTGACTCCTGAGTGGCAGCCCTCATCTGACCGCGGGCGATGATGGGACGAGCCAGACTGGTTCCTTCAATATTCTTAGCTTATGTGTATTCTCATGGAATCGCGTCGATCATACCCAAAAGGTACTGGTCCTCTGACAAGGCGTAAGTGAGCTGACAATCGTAACGGGATGCGACAGATTAAATACCGTAGATGGCGTTCTAGATGGTGTTGTTAGCCGAGGCGAGGTAAGCACAAGGATGGAGGATGAAACTTACGCACTTAACGGCCTTCCAGCAAAGCTCCCTGTACTTGCTTTAGTATAAAATAACAATGTGATCGAGGTTTGGACTACACTCACTCAACAAACTCGCGCTTGAGGTCATCAATGATCATCTATTCCCAGCCATCAGCAACCTGCGCGGGCAGGCGATTCCAATCGGGGACGCGAGCCCAAATTCGGACCGTCGTACCTTCTCAGCACCGATCTGGAGAGCTAAATGGAGTCAGAACGGGTGTCTTCCCACGGGAGCTGTGTGACTTTGTCTTGGCCAGCAGTAAAGGATGTCAACTTACCCTTCTTCTCGACGGCAGCCCAGTCCTCCTAATGACTTAATGAGTATGCCATTAAACAGACAGTAGATTTGAAGTAGCCAACTTACCTCCTGTCCGACATTGGCCAGGTAGCAGCTTCGTACAAGTCAGTATGACAGCTCCTGCGGGGCATGTCTGAGCTCTCGAGCGCGGTGACGACTCACACGACAGAGTAGCCCTCGGAAATCAACCAAGCGAGAATGACGGAGGTGTCAAGCTGGTGGGTAGGTCAGTACGATAGATCACGAAGCCATTGACGCAGATTCGAGTCGTGGAAGATCGCTCGTCGTCGTGGGAAAGAAGACCTACACCTCCAGAGTACCTGTGCGCGCGTCTCAGTCAGTGACTCTTTTTTTTCTCCTGCGAGTGAGTGCGGGGGCGGGGTTGTACGTACGCGAGGCAGACCTTGCCCTTAGAACCAGCCATGTTGACGGTATTTGGTTTGTTGTTTGGGGTGTTCGAGGGGGAATAGAGCTGTAGGAAGTGAAGACGACTGCAATTGATGCGATCGAGAAGAGAGGAGGTGGTGTTGTGGGTTGGAAAACTTTGGGAGAGAGAAAAGAAATGGGAGCTTCGAGTCACCAATGCGCCGGGGCCGGGATCGGGAACCGATAAGATAAGACCAGACCAGGGGTCGAAGTGTAAGGTACCTGAGTTTTTGCTTCGGCGCACTGCAGGAAGAACGCACCGCTAACATGACCCTCAACCCTACCTGCCTTGTCTTGGCTGCATTGTCAAGATTTTAACCAATGCCATTGCCTCAATTCGCATTCATTTTTTCCCAATCTCGAATCAATCCCTTGCCAACAACGACGCCGTTCGAGGCGGTCAGCAACTCTATGGTTCCCAACTCCAACGTTCAAACCGACTCAGTCGACGGAATGTCATGCTCGCAGCGAGGTATATCCCGGCAACACCCGGTCCACCACCACCACCGCCAGCGATAAGACCCGTCTGCTTTCTCAACCGATGACACAGACCCTGAGGGGCAGGACGAAAGCACGCGCCCTCGCGCTGACACACAGCAGTGACAGCATCGTGGAGAAAGCGCTGTACGAAGTACATCACCTCCACTAGCACTCGAGCGTCATGGGCACGCGGGGAGATAGATGGCGTTCGTGGTACAGCATGTCACTGTCACCTTGCAGTCTGGGGTAACGGCTGGACCTTACCTACCTTACGCAGCACGAAGAAAAGCTGCTGCAGTTCAAGGCGTCGGGATTGTCTATTAGTACTCTTGCGGACAGGGATCCGCATCGCCGTTAACCCAAACGCGGGGCAATTTATTCACCGCGGGGTTCTCGGGGACTAGAAGAACTTGTCGGCTCCGGGCTCCTTGAGAATCATGACTTCATTCGGCTTCTCTTCCGGTTGAAATTCGTCCTTGCCGCGCCTTTCCTTCCGAAGGCCTTTAAAGACCACCGAGTCGTTCTGTCCGACGACGACATATCAACACCGCCGATAAAGAAACACCTCCTGCCTTTAGTCCCCCTTCACCACCCGCCCGTTCATCCCACGTTCTTCGCCAAAGCATACCAAACATGGAATCAAAGCTCTCCGACACCTTCTCCAACTCACCCCTCTCGACCCACGGCCCGAAATGGTCTGCCCTCTGGGAAGAGAAGTACACGCCCTGGGACCGCGGCGGTCCATCCCTCGCCCTCCGCGACGTCCTCACCACCCGGCCAGACCTGGTCCCTCCCCCATCGAGAGACGCCCCGAGAAAGCCAACGGCTCTGGTCCCGGGTTGCGGCAAAGGCCATGATGTCCTGCTGCTCGCGAGTCTAGGCTACGACGTCCTCGGCCTCGACTTTTCAACGACCGCCATCGCCCAAGCTAAGGAGAACCAGAAAGCGGCCGCCGAGGGAGCCGACACCATTTCGGCTCGCGAACCGAATGCTTCGGAGCCCGGGACCGTGACCTGGCTATCTGGCGACTTCTTCTCCGACTCCTGGCTGGAGGAGTGGGGTCGCGAGAGGACCTTTGATCTCATCTTTGACTACACCGTAAGCCCAGCCGACTCGCACTCTTCTCTCGATCATTATGTTGCGGGCATACACGTGATGCATCTATAGTCAAGTCTAACATCCCAAGTTTCTATGCGCTCTTCCTCCCTCCGCCCGACCCAACTGGGCAGCGCGTATGACATCCCTGCTCGCCCCTACAGGCCGTCTCGTCTGTCTTGAGTTCCCGTCCGGCAAACCACTCTCCCTCCCCGGCCCGCCATGGGGTCTCACGCCAGAGATCTACCTCGCACTCCTCGCACGACCCGGCGACGCCCTGGAATTCTCTTCGTCCACAGAGAAAGGCGACGAGACCGACGTCGTAATCGTGCCGCCGTACCGCGACAACGGCCTCAAACGCCTCGAGCTCATCAAGCCCGCCAGGACGCACCGCGGAGGAATGAACGAGGACGGCACAGTCCGCGACTGGATCCACGTCTGGAGCCGGTAACCTCTTGACACCCCGTAGCACATGCCAAATACATTAACAAATCATCGCCGTCTATGCCCGTGAATACTCCAACGCTCTAAGCCGTCGTCTTCCTCAATGAATTATAATGCTCCCCGAGCCCATAGCCATGCCGGTAGTACGCCAACCACACCACCTCCTCCCCCTCCCCGATCCTCTCCGTCCTCCCGTCCTGCACCACCCTGATCTCGACCCCATACACCCCCGACAGCGCAACCAGCTCAAGCTGCCCGCCCCACTCCGCCGTGTCCCGGATCTTGCCCACGTACCCCTCCAACCCCTCCTCCAGGAACGGCGCGAAGTCGTCCGGGTGCGCCTCCATCCACTCCGCCGCCCTCCTCCTCACGACCTTGTACGGCGGCGCGGCCTTCTCCTCCTGTTCGGACCCGGGCGCCAGCGGGATGCCCTTGTGCCGCAGCTGGTCCGCCACCGCGGAGAACAGACAGTGCCCGTCCGGCGCGATCTCCTGCTCCGACAGCGAGTGCGCCTTGAACTCGTTGAGCATGTACGTCTTCTCGATCCCGCGGTGGTCCGTCATGTTGCTCGCCTCCTCCTCCGCCTTGGACATGGCCTCCTCCTGCTCCGCGGCGCGCCGGGCCATGCGTTCCTTTTGGCGGTTGCGCTTCTTGCCGCCGCCGCCCTGCGTTTGTGTTTGATCTTGTGGCGCCGGTTCGGAGATGGTCGTCTTTTCCAACTTCTCCGCGACATCCCTCGTCGCAGCATCTTGTTCATCCTCCTTCTCGTCTTCGGATTCTGGCTCCGCCGCCGCGCCGCCGGCACCGGTGAGCGCGGCGACTTCCTCCTCCTGCTTCTCCCGCAGCCGGCGCTCCATGTCGGCGCACTCGTCGTTGACGCCCTTGCGGGTCTTCTTTGTCGCGTTCTTCTTCTTCTGCGTGGTGCGGGCGACCAGGTCGCGCTGTTCCTTGCGGTGGCGGGCCTGCATCTGTTCCAGCGTCTCGGACTCCATGTTTGCGACTTTTTCGTTTTTCCTCAAGGGTTTGTTTGTTGTTGTTTGGGGGGGAGTGGTGGCTTTTCGCGCGCGGGGAGAGAGGTGTAGGTTCGTTCGAGGAGGTCGCGGCCCGGATCGCGGGGTAACGGTGTACACTCGGGGGGTCCTTGGGCTGCGTTTCTTTTGCGAGAGGGTTTTTGTACTGCGACGATTGATGTGGTAGAGGGAGAGGGTATCGACTCGGACGGCTGCGTGGAGGTTGTGGCGAACTGAAAGCTGGAATGTCGAGATTGTTCGAGCGACGAGGTAGGTCGGAGGTTTGCAGCTCTCGGAGCTTGGCCTGGGAAACTGCCAGCTGAGCGAGGGGTGAAATTTCTTAGTGGGGTCGTTGCGGGGCCCCACCATCTACGTGAGTGTCACTCCACGACCTAGTGTCAGGCCCAAGACTGCGGCGGCACCCGGTCACATCAGTTCACCGAAACTTGGACAATAGTTATTTTACGATTCAATTGTTGATAAATTGTCCATAAGGGACCTACGTACTGTAGCGAAGTTTCAAATATCGAACCCAATATCCGGGTCGACCAACATCTTACACTTGCCTCCTCCCACCTGGCATCCTCTCTCACGATGCCGTTCCATCCATAGCTCGGCCCACGCGAGACCAAAACAATGGCATATGTCTTCCTGACATGTGGTATCGCACAGCTTGCGCTGCTTTCCCCTCCCAATTCCTAACTCCAAGCAGAAAAGGCGACCTCGAGATCCCTTTGCTTTTATCCATCCCCCTACGTTGTACACGAAAGAAAAAAAAACACTACATAATGGGTATCGGTTTCGGAATGACTGCAATCCCGCGCGCTCCGGTTAAGCAACCTTTCGCGTCGGGACAAGTAAAATGACAGACAAAAGACTGTCGAGACTAGAAACCCTTGAAGGGATCGTCCCTGAAGAAATCATCCTCTGTGCCCATGCGGCTGTAGTGGCCGTCAGTGGTACGAGTGCCGCGGGAGCTGTAGCTATCGCGGTGGCGGCTGCGACTCTGTCGGCGCCGGAGCTCCTTGCTTCTCCTTCGAGCTCGGTACCTGAATTCCTCCTGTTCGTCGGGATCTCCGTCGAAACGGGAGTACGCCAAGGGGCTGATGAAGGCCTCCATCCGCACCGTGCCGATGGCGTCGAAGAAGTTGGCGCCGGGCCGTGACGAGGCCTCTGAAGTGCGCTGGGAGCCGGCCGTGCTCATGCCCCAGCTGGGCGCGCCGCCGGTGGACGGCTGTGACTGATGAGACTGGTAGATGTCGGATGAGCCGGCTGTGCCGACGCTGTTGCCGGCGTTGCTGTTGGTGTAGCTGTGTTGTCCGATGCTACCGGGCCCAGAGAAGCCGCGGAAGGATAATGGTGGCGGGACGTGGCCGCCGGTGTTGCTGCGCTTGCGGCCATGAATCAAAGCCTGGTTGCCGCGCTCTGTGAATCGAGGGATGAACGGCGGTTCCGCCGCATCGCTTGATCTCTCCCGTTGGTGGGTGTTGTTGTTGTTGTTATTGTTGTTTGGCATATGAGCGTACTGCTGCTCCTGCTGCCTGTTGTTGGCTCCATCCCCTACTCGCGATGAGGGGATGCTGGGAACGCTAGGGATGCTAGGTACGCTTGGGACGCTCGGGATACTAGGGACACTGGGTGCTGCATTCCTTGTTGACGGGGCCTTGCTCTTTGTCAGTCGAATGGAATCACGAATGCCGGGTCGCCTGGCGGGTTGAGGCATCTCAAAGTCCGGTACCGTTGTTTCCTTTACAGGTTGAGGGGAAGGCATGATCTCGGGAATGGCCTGGGTGGAGTGTGCGAGGAAAGACAGGGCTGTCAACCACACGTAGTGTCGTTCGGAAGAGGAAGCCGTGAACTTGAGTGCTCTTTGTGGCGTCAGGATGAGGATCGAACGATGGAAGATGGAACCTTGGCCGCGAGGAGGGGGGTTGTCGTCCTTGACGTCGAGCACCGACTGGATGGTTACTGCATCGATTGTTAGTTTATCGGGGTCTGTTTGGATAAGACGGAAGGAACTTACGTTTGCGACCTGCCTTGCCCATGAGGGCGCTGCCGGAGTTGGGCTGCTTGCTGCTCCAGAGGATAGCTCGCTCATAGGGAGCAAGCCAGACCCATCTCTTGTGACGGTCGTTGCTGGAATCGTCCTTGCCGCCGTCCGATACGCCGAAAGACTTGCGCCTCCTCACGTACTTGAACATCCATTCACCAACCATGGTTTGCGCGATGGCATCAACAACACCAGTCGCCTGCGAACCGCCGTTGGAAGCGGCTGCGCTAGAGGGAGCGTTCGATGTAGCGCCATTAGAGGCAGCTCCATTGGAGACGCCACCGACGGATGCAAGATCAGTGGTGCCGGTTTGGGCCGTGTTTGTAGACAGGCGAGACCTGTGCGACCGGTATTGGGAGCGGTTGTCGTATCCGGGGCTGGTAATGTCGTTGTACGGAAGAGGAGGGAGGCTGGGGCTCTCCGGGGTCTCGATGCTTTGCGGGAACGGCGGCGGCGACCGACTGCCTTGCCTCCGGTTCCGCTGTCCGCGGGGAAGGGCAGCGGCAGACCGAGTCTTGCGGATGCTGTTGGCACGGTAGTGGCTTCGGCCAACACCCCGGCGATGCCAAGGAGCGTCCATTTTTGTCGGACTTCGCTGGCCATCGCTGGGAGCGCTGGCACTGAAAGGTGGCCGGCGAGAACTGGCTCTCGTGGGAATGGGAAAGGGAGGCTGAGCTTCAGGAACACTAGGGCTTCTGGGACGGCCCTGGTGGCTCGAGATACCGCTCTGGATCAATGCGGCCTTGCGCATACCGTTCGGTCTGCTTGATGGGCCGGCGTTGTTTCTGTCGTATCCGCCACGCGCCGCGGACTTCATGGGCGGCTTCTTCGGGACCATCTCCTTGTTCTCCAAGCTAAAGCCGTAGCTCTCGGTGCCCATAGAGCGTACCGAGCTTCTAGCAATGGCAGACTTCTTCAAGACTTGCTCCGGAGATGCCGGTGACGCCACGAAGGTGCTCACCGATGTCCTGTTGGACGCCCTTGAGTCCGTCATTCTCATGCCGGGGGCAGACAAGACGGTTCGGTACTCAGAGTCGCTCACATCCGCATCACCAAACTCGTCCTGCTCGTCAGAGCTGTGTTCATCGAAGCCAGCGAAGAGGCTGCTGATGCGGTGAGGTCGTCTCATGGGTGCTTTGTGGCCAGATAAGGGCCCGTCATCATTGTTGCCTGGGTATGCATCCCGCGTTTCTCTGTCAGACACGGGCGAGATTGGCGGGGAAGATGGCATGTCGGTGAGACTACGCTTGCTGGTCAGTCTCCTCGGGTTCCTCGGTGGGAGATGGTTGGGCACTGGTGTGAAGTGACGGGTATCGTCTGTCGTGATGGCGGTAGCAATGTTAGGGGACGTAGGTCTGGATATGATGGCGGAGGGTTGAAGGTGAGCAGGAAGGTTGGCCAGGCGTCTGTCGACAAGAATCTCCTCGGTCTGCACGGCAGTAGACTTCATAGGCACTGATGAGATGATGGAGACCTGGCAACCAAAGTCCTTGAAGTATTGCGGCAGTCGGGGCTCCTGAGGCGTAGAAGGTCGAGTCGTCGGAGGAATGATGCTAATGCTAGGGATGAGCAGTTCTTGGACGGGCTTCGGTTCGGGGGCCGGTTCGGGCTTCTCCTCAGGCTTGGGCTCGGGCAAGTCGGTCTGGGTGGAAGACGAGATCATGACGGCTGCCGGGACTTCAGGGGGAGGCGGCGTCAAAGACCTGTAGGGTGATTTGGGCGTCTTGGGCGGGCTCAGGGGCTCTTCGACAGTCTGGGATCCGGCTGAGACCATGTGGTTATAGGGACGAGGCTCAATGGACAACGGCCGGTTGATCTGAACCCGCTTCCGCCTTTGGTTGGCCTCAATTGCCTCAATTTCTTGCTGAACCTTCGTCTTTTCCTTGACAGACCCTTCAGCCTTGACAGGTTCTTCGATCTTGGCAGGAGGCTCCGGAGTAGGCGGCTTGACTGGTTCGAGCTTTGGTGACGGCGGAGGAGAAAATTGAATTCCAGTGTCCGTGTAAGTGACCTTGGGAGCAGGCGGCGGCGGAGGGGGCATCAAGTCCTCGTCATCCTCTTGGATTCCGTCTTCCAGAGCCTCCAATACCGGCTGGTTCATCCACAACCTGCCACGGGTGACGCTTCCAGGACGCTGGGGGCTTTCGAGGCTCTGGTTTCGACGATGGATTCTGGACAGGACGCTCTCTCGGCTGATGTTTCGGGTGTGACGATGGTAGGACATGGCACTCTCGCGGCCGCCGTCATCGGTTTGCCAGTCATCGTCGCCGTCGAGGTTGAGTTCGTCGGCAAGGGAGTTGATGTTGTTGACCTTGCCGGGGCTCTGCTGCATGGAAAATCGAATGCTGTTTGTCAGGCTCATGGTACGAACACTGGCGGCGTCGTCCTTGTTGTCCTCCATCTCGCTATCTGCAGCGTTGCCGTTGGCCTGAGCAGCTTGGTATGCGGTGACCTCGTCGAGAACCACCTTCAGGCGGCTTTCGGCAACATGAACTCTGCGTTCATATTTCCGCTTTTCTTCCTCCCAGGAGTCTTTGTCTTGGGCCCACAGCTCGTGAACCCTTTGTGAGTCCTCCTCTTGGCTTCGGATCTTCTTCTGGGCAACTTCGAGTCTCTTCTTCGTTTCTGAAATGGAGTCGACTGCCTCGTCTCTCTCTCGGGCGAGTTCACCGAGTGCTGAGGATGTTCCGCCCTCAAGCAAGGCCAATTGGCGCTTCAGAGAGCGACTTTCCTTGGTAGTGGTAGCCACCGACTCCTGAAGTGACTCCTGTTCCTCGCGTGAGGCGTGTAGCGATGCCTCCAGGTTCTCGATCAGCTTCGTCTTTTCCTCCTGATCGCGTCTCAAATTCAAGATCTCGGCCACGAGGTTAGCGTGCAAAGTCGGAGTAAAACGGCGAGGGTCGAGGACGCTGATGTTGTCATCGTTGGTGATATTTCTCGAAGACCGCTTCGAGCTCTTCTCATTGGGTACGGGAGGTGGCGAGGGGCTCTTTTTTCCATTCGGAGGAGTGACAGAGCGGCGGGACTTTCTCGAACTTCGCGATGGTGTTCTGTAAGGTGTGTCTTGTGGCGTGGGCAATGCGGTCGCGGCGACCGGGCCGCTATGCTCGTCGTCGGTCTCCCAGACAGCCATGTTGGAGGACTGACTGAGTGAGAGACAATGAAGGTCTCACGGCGATCTGCAACGAGGGCGGCGGTCCCAATTGAACCCCTCAGAAAAGAGGTGTGAGCATTCAAATCGCGTCGCTATCGGCTTACAGCGAGTCAATGTGCTTGGATCGCCAGTCGTTTCGGGGAAAATCAAATGTAGGGGATCAAAGCACACAGCTGAGCCCCAGGGATCCTTGCCGACGGTGGAAATGACAGGCGCTGGAGGAGAGTCTGACCGCGCAATCACAGGTGCATTGACGCTATTCAACCCCCACTGACGAGTTAGTGTTCAGTAAAACTGCGGGAGAGGCACATTGGAGGAAGGAGACGCCGAGAGTTGCGGCAAGGAAGATGCATGAATTGCGTCCGGGACAAACTTACGAGAACAAGATGATGCTGATGCTGCCTTGTGCTCTGCGTGGCAGGCGTAGCGGCTTGGTTGTCTGTTGACAAGTGAGAGGTGACGGCGGGTGTTGGCCCGAATTAGACAGAAAAAATAAGGAGAGGTTCGCCCAATGGGCCGTTTCTGGACAATTAAGACTCGTCTTAGCATGAAGTCCTTGGAACCCATGTGGTATAAATGGTATATTGGGACCGGGGAGGGATGTTCGGGATCGGTTTGGGGGAAGGGATGCCCACCTTAAGAACGGATAGATATAGGGAGCAAGATGCAAGTTTGAAACTGATTGGCTTTCGAAGCCAGAAATCAACGTCGCAGACAAAGGAGAGAGGGAAAGGATCGGTAGTCGCGAGAACGGGTGACAGCGTCGCGAAGTCGCAATGGGTCGGTCGATAGTCGATGTTCTTAAGTCGACATTTCGTTTGAAAGTGAGCTTGGAGGCCGAGGTAAGGAATACGACTCCTGGAAAATCGGGCGGCAGTAAGAAAGCTCGACTCGTTTCGGAAGGCGTATGTACAGAGCGATGTACAAATTACTTTTATAAATAGAGACGATGATGTCGGAGAAGAAACGTTGGTTGGAAGAATTGCGCGAGAAGGCGGATAGATAGGGTTAAATCATCGAGTTGGTGTTGGTGTTGGTGTGGTCTAGACGGGGAGATTGTGGTCAGCCTCTTCCTCCCGGACCTCCCTCCTTCTTTTTTCTTCTGAACCTTCTCCCGCGATGATCGGCCGCAAGCCCCAAGCTCTTCTGAGACAAAACTGGATGACTTACAGCTTGTGGCAGATTGGAGGCCCGACGGTTTATCGGGAGTTTTAGAAACAAGTCGAGGCGGAAAAGCAACGGCGCGGCGTCGGGCTGCGAGACAGGCAATGACACCAAAGGAAAAGAGAATGAGAAGGGACAAAGTGCGAGTACCAACACTCAAGTGGCAACTCGGAACGGATTGAAGGCGCGGTGCAACTGGTACACCAGGACGAGGACGTGTATCCCAAGGATGGGGAGGACAAGACAGCTACATCCGAGGCCAATTGGGAGATCAATGGCAGCGCACGGAAGGTGAGGTCGACTCGACTCAAAGGGAATTGAGAAGGGAAGAAGCCTCGAGAGTTGAAAGACGGGCGAGTCGAGGCGCGGGTAGAGAGTAAAGACCGGGTGCGCGGCGCCAGGCTATTCAGTCATTTCAAGCATGGGACAGGCCGAGATGGGATGGAAATAATTGGACGTGACCAGGGTGCAGAAGGCAGAGCATGGGATGGGCAGGACCACGCAGTAAGGTAGGAAGGGGTCAGGCCGGGGTTGGAACGAGGGTGAACAACTTCAAAGTGGGAATGAGAACATCACACAGCGGATTATGTACGATTTGGCACCCGTAGATGCAGCATCAACTCCACCTGCAGCAACACGGGCCAGCAATGGCAGGTGAGTGTGATGGGGTCGACATGCACTAAGAATGGAAGTGAAGTGCAAGCCTTGTGCCATGTGCCTTGTGCTGAGGAGAGAGGGAGGACAGATGGACAGGCCGCAGACGCAATGTGATGGGATCATGAACCCCTGGTCTACGAGATTAGCTAGATTGGGTCGAGGTCAGGTATGCCGGCGCCGTCAAATGGGAGGAGACAAGAGACACAACCGGACGACATGGGAATAAATTAAACAGGCACAGCTTTCAGCCTTCACGCCCGCCGCGGCCAACGGCAAGATTCAACGGTCCAGCCAGAGTCCATGATTACGATCAAAATCAAGACCAAGGCCAAGACCAGGTATCCGTAAGATCCAAGGACCACGCTTGCATCCGGATTGAACCGACACGCGTGCGCGAGGCTGCCAAAGTTTGTAAGACGGGCAAATGAAGTCTCTCTGATGACGGTGCCGTTACATCTGTCTTTCAAATTCGAGACGACTTGCAGCCGTCTTTGATTACGATTAATAAGGCGATATGAGCTTCCTCGGCCCCATGCTCCGTATCACAACCCCACGTACCGCAGCGAGTCGTACGGATACGTGTAGAGGTAGGTGGTGAAAAGGAGTATCCGTCGTCACTCGTTCAGACCAGTAACCGAGGCCAGACTGAGGGACAGAACTAGGAGAAATCCTGCACCGGCATTCGAGTGCGCTAGCTGCTCACCAGTCGCGCCTGCCGCTGCAGACTTTGCTGGCCACTAGAGTGCCAAATGTGCCTAGCGGGAGTCATGTAAGGCAGATCATTGGGAGGAAAAGAAACCTGGCTCTGAAAAGGTCACAACAAAGTTATTGATTGGGTCGACAACGAGCATGATACCAGGTATTCCACTGCTGGAGTGAGTAGAGTATATTGCCTAAGAAAGATACCTGAAGAGTAGCAGGCACGTGGTTCAACGGTTCTTTCCATCTTGAATTGGCAGAGGAAAGAGGAAGGCGTGCTCTCTTCTCAGTCGTACCTTCCAACATCAGGCACCTCTTCGTCAGCTCTCCACTTTTTACAGTAAGGAAACCTGGAAGCCCAACACAACGACTACGACTACAACTGCAGTGTACGACATGACTTCGACCTTCTCACGGAGTAATTAATCGACGGCATTTTCCAGCACCCTACAGCGCCAGCCGCAGCTAGCAAGAAACAAAATCCACGGTGAAACAACACCCGATGGGATCAACCCAGATAATCGCTCATCTACCACGATCTCGACGCCGCAAGCCGCAGGATCCGGGCAGGCAACGCGACGCAACGCCACGCCTTCCTTCATCATTCCAATTCGTGAGTCGTCCACGGTGCCCCTGCTACAACTTCCCTACGGATACCCAGCACCAACAGGAAGGATTCAAGACAGCCGAGCAGACGCAACACTGAACTGGGGATATCCTCAGTTGGGAGCAGCCGGGTCCCACCACTACCCTTTGGGGAGCGAGAAGTGGGGGAGCCATTTGCCCAGACAAGACGCTAGCCAGGCCTTCTCTCCAAGGGGTCCCGGCATCTCCAAGGGGTAACTTCGCCCACTAACCCGCCTTGGTCTCTGAAGCTGGCCATCGTCGACCGTCCTCGAGCCTCGCCGTCGAATAGGAACCTCTCCAAACTCTAGCCCGCAATTTCCTGGCTGCGCTGATCACAGTTCTCATCACTCGCCGTCACCCGCCGTTATCGTTCTTCTCGTGTTGGCTCTGTTACCAACTTGTTACGCTCACGCTTCAAGGCCACCACCGCACCAGTGCCTCTGCTTACCTACCCTGTACGCAATTTCGACTTGGACAAGACACGTTTCGTACCAACACCGTCTCTGATGTCGCTGTCTCGCTTTCATAGCTTGCTTACTGATACACAACTTGTTGTTGGACTACCATCAGCGCACAAAGCAAAGAGGCCTCGGACGCGTGATATTGTCTCGCTGCCGTCCCTCTCCCTCCCTAGTGAGCAAAGACTTTGGTGCGCCCGCTTGTCAAACGACGCTCAGTCTCATCCTACCAACACGAAGACATGGGGCCATCACTGAGTCGCCTGACAGCAGCACCTGTCGCTGTCAACTTGCCCATCAATCTCGGCCAAAATCCTACTGCCACTAGCACATGTGCCGACAAAAACATCAATCCTTTCAACGACAGTGCGCAACAAGAACATGAGGGTGGCCCTTGTCATTATCAGAGCCTTCGGTTTCTCGACCCCTCGAACTGCCGGCTGCCGTCAACCGTACCTTGCTGAGGAGGTCAGAGCTTTCCATCACTTTGCTCACTGGCGGAGAGATTCATGCACCCGCCTGGAATAAAACAGCCCTGGCTGCTCGCTGCTCAACCTCGCCTACCTATCCGATGTTGCGGCCCTGAGACTTGACTCAACCCTCGAGGCCTCCGTGTCAGAAACCTCGCACAAACGGCTGTCTGGGCCGTTTGCCATGTTCTACCACGAGGTGCTGGTTGATCAAGCACGAACAACCGGCAAAACTCAAATACATAGCAGCGACCCATCATCATCGACGTTGCTCTACCGCTAAGCGGTACCCGCATCAGCTCGGGGAACAGGCATCGAATGCAAGTCAGTGGCACAATCACAGTCCCCAATCACATTGGAGGCTGCAAGACGTCGAATTTCGCGCTTCACCTTGTGCATCCGCGTCTGCAATCTGCAGTGCAGCGCCGCGGGGCCCGCTACCTTACGACGCCGCCAGGCTCGAAGACCTCGCGACCCCAGCAAGCCACCCTGTACGTTTTCTCATCGTGGCCAGCCAGCTCGAAAAGAAGCACCGTGGGACCCCCGTGAGGAAAGGCGTTCTCAAATACGGTTATTGGTCCCCGTTCAGCGGTGGTTCCCCCGGCCTTGCGTTAGCCTTCCGATATCACCACGGGAAGCGGATCGTTACCCATTGTCTGTTCGCGCGATTGAAGAACACAAGCCCGGAAGCCGACTTCGTCTGGTTCGTTTATTGCGGGAGTATTGGCCCTTCGTTTTCCAATTTCTGTGTTGAACACTGCCACCATCGTGGATTAATCCCTCACTCAATTTCATGTCTTTACTTCTTCGAACCTTCGCTCAACCAATATTTGCATTTCGAACAACCCAAAGATGTAACCGTCTTGACTCCGACATCTAGCCAGCCGGCTACCAAAGCTGCGGA